GTAATAATTGATAAGATGAGTATTTGATGATTTAATATTATCTGCATTATTGTCAAGTTAAATTATTCTAGAGAATAACTTTGCAGACATTTCAGAAACGTCTAATATATATATCATTTGCGTAATAATCATTTATTATAATAAATTATTGGGATTTACCAACTTTATCAAAGTTTCCATTAGACATAATTATTCCGACTTATTTACTTATTACTTTCTTTTTAAATGTAGCATTTTAAGATTAGTATTAGGGCTAATGAGCAACGCTATCCTTTTATTTGTGCATTTTAAAGGAATTAATACCGGTAAATACAATCTAAAGATGCTGCTACGACTAGGGAGAGACTTTATATCGGCTGAGCCAATTTAGCTTAGGGCCGTAAGCATTAAAGAGATAAACCAAGTATTTATTAAGTATATGCACGACACTAAAAGTAACCAAAACCTTCAACTGACTAACTATTTTTTCCAAACCCAAGAAGTACTACCCTGAGTGCTATTCCAAAATCCTAAAAATCTTCCAAGATCTCTCTAAAATCCCATTTACAGAATATCGCTCTATATATATATATCGAAGTTGACTATCCTGCATGATGCAAAGTATAATTAATCCTAAGTATAATAGCGTAATTGCTTCTATCATTACTTAACTATAAACTAAACTATTATAATGTTACACAACTGTAAGTATAATTGTTAACTATGTTAAGCGCACCGATCCAATATATAGTTTAATTTTAGATCATGTGTAGCGTGAAGATTATGCGTCTTTGAAAAAAGCTATAAACAAAATTTTGCTCATGAAACCACATTAAGTGCTTTAATAAAAATTCATTGCAATATTTGGTATAAATTTAGGTCAAACAAGGTTGTTTTTCGTTTTGCGTTACATGACATTAGAAATTTCGTTCGACAATCGTTTTTTTTTTTACAACTTTTTTCATAATTCCTAAATCATCTGATTAAATTTGCGACCGATTTTTCGGCCAATATCGATTAAATTTGTGATTTTGGTGTAATTGATTCAAAATTTGAATCAAATTGATATATGAGTGCTGCAGAGCGAAAAGCTGGAAGTGAATACTTGAAGATTTCACTATGGCGAGTTTAGCCCCTGATGGATTCTGATGTTACGTAATTAATCATGTGTACGATCAGGTTCGATTGTATATATCATCTTAATATAGAAATACAAATTAGGCTCTATTAATTAACCGATTTTTAAAGCACGCACGTTACCGAAATTACCAGAACACTGATTATCAATACGTAATGTTGCAATTCATCAGGGGCTAAACTCGCCATAGTGAAATCTTCAAGTATTCACTTCCAGCTTTTCGCTCTGCAGCACTCATATAATATAATTGTAGTTATGCACTATTATGATCATATCGGATTGAGGTTTGAGAACACCTCAAATTACCAAAAATCTCTATTTGAATATATATCATATCTATAAACAATCATTTATCTGATGGGTTATAAATCGCTGGCTGAATTAAATAAATAACGTTACTAATGTTGATAAATTTGAATCTGGATTATGCTAAATTGATTTATAATTCAATAATATTATTTTCAACACTTTGATCACGTTTTTAGGTACAATTAATAATTAAAAACAGTCATGTTAATACGAATCTCTAAAGATTCGCTTATACAAACGAAAAGAACTGCACGCATGTAATATAATAAGTGGAGAGACATTCCAACACAAAATAGCTCTATACATTAAAACTTTATTAAATGTCTTCAATTAAATAAAATGATGATTTATAATTATTATGTGGTTCATAAACGGTTTCATAAGTGATTCATAAGCGGATTATAGTTAAGGTAAGCAATTGACCAATCAGTGCAATCGTACAATTCAATTTTACCGGAGATCATGCAATATCACATAAATGATTTAATTTATGAAATATTATCACTAATGTTTAATAATCACCAATTTAAAAAAATTCTCCCATATGATGAATATTCTTAGCTTGTGATTTTTAACTGATCTAGCGTTACTGATCTAATAAATTTCGTTAAAAAAATTCCGCTAATAGATTAGAGTTAAGTTTTGCATGAAGTTAGGTTAGAAAGAGCTTTTTAGTACCAAAATTTCACGAGGAAACTTTTTATTAGTGTGTAGAAAGTGGTTTCATAGACAAAATGTTGGATTTTTTGGTTTGTTTTGTTTTATTTCTTCTGCGTCACACCTAATCTTGAACCTGTTTAGCCAGTGAAATTTTTTAGGTTGATAACGCTAGGAAATTTGTGATTTTTCGCCTGCGTAATGTAGACTTGATGTAAATCGCATTTGGAGAATTGCAATTAGACCACCACTGTTCCCCGTTTTATATGTCTTATATTATTGTCAAATATGCCTGATAAATTTGGTTAGTTCTACCACAAAATTCCGACATCCAAAATCTCGAAATCATAATCCCGGTGTGATAATTAATATTTAAAGACTTTAAATTTTAATTGTGATGTCAGTATTATGGCCAACCCCTGTCCACAAAAATTTTCCGGGACGTGAATTTTAGCCAAACAGATCGAAGGATCAGGTGTAACGTGAAAATTCACGCAATTTTTTCAAAAAATCGCCAATAACTCGAAATTTGGCTTATGAAATTGCCTTCTGCGTTTTAATAAAAAAAATTCCTTGCAAAAATTTGGTATAAACTATGCCCTTTTCATGGCCTTAATCCAAACCTTAAAGATGTGGTTATTGATTTTAAATGTTCGTGTAATTTGATTGTTTTGATTTTTACGTTACACCTGATCTATCGACCTGAAATGTTATGTTGGTGAGCTACCAGCAATGTCAAAATTTTAATGTCAGGATTTTTCAGTAGAACTAATTTGGTTATATTAGCAATTATGCTACAAACCTTGAATTGGTAATACATTAAACTTTACTCTTCTTTCTTCTTGCATATACAAGATTTATTGCTGTCTTTTCGATCTGTTGGATTCAAATAAACAATAGCAATTATCAGATAATCTGGACAGCAAAAAATCTAACCGGAAAGTTAAAAATTTTGAATTAATCATTTAAACCCATGTTATAGTAAAATATATTTACTATTTTATCAATTTTTTTGGATATCTTCACTATTGAAAGTGCAACTTCAAATTGCAAGTGCAGGTGTAAAAGATTATACAAAACACTTTTAAATTTTTGATATGTTCGATGGACTTTTTTAGTCACTTTTTTTGCTCAAAGCAGTTTATACTTTTAGATCTTCAAGCAATAAAAATCACAATTCATTTTAATAACCAGCAGTTAAGCAAGTTTTTGTCTCTTTGTTTGTGGCTTTTCTTCAAAACTTTCTATTTTGTCAGAAAGTATTTTCTGAATCATCACAAACAAAGATCTTATACTATTTAGACTGTTTTTATCTGTTATAAAATTGTTCAAAGGCAGTTCGATTGGCTCGCTGTCACTTATTTCATCATCGGTACTAATCTTTGTAAATACTATGAGTTGCCAGTGGTAACAATTCTATAGGCATTGTTCTTTCTTTCATATAACTATAAAAGATATATAGACTATTAGTTTAAATTTGTTTCTAAAAGTATTTTAAAAGCATTCCAGTAGAATTTTTTAGTAGTATTATTAATTTTGACTTTCAATAGCTTCTATTAGTCTTTCATAGCCTCATATTGCAATACTAATAATTATATTAAAGCCTGCAAGTAAAAATTTAAGTATTTATCACATCTGACTTAGTCATGAATAATTGATATTAAATAATTTAGTGTTTTGGTCATTTCTGCATACACACATATATGTACTATAATGTAAGTTATATTAAAACTGATTATATGCGCACTATTTATATAATATCAATTAATTCGAAGTCATATATAGTAAAACTTAAATTTTTTAGGTTATAATTAGACTATACTCAAATTGTAAATACTTACCTCACAAATGCACAGTACTTGTGTAAAATTTTGCACCAAGCCATATTCTATGTTTAAAGATTTGGCTTCAATAACACAGAAAATATTCTTACCCTGTATAATGATAAAATCAAATCGACCTTTACCATTAGTGCCAGATAGAGAATATTCTCTGTACACTATTACTTTTGGTCCTTCGAAGGTAGAGGTGACACTATGAAGAATAGCAGAAATGTATTCACCTCTTTCCACTTCATTAAGATTTTCTATATGTGGTGAAGTTTCTGCCAGTAGCTTTAAAATAATATATATAATTAGCTTTCATTCATTCTATACATATGATTCAAAACAAACTAAAATTAAATCTATATAAACCTTGATCTGCTATGCAATCCAATTTATTTTAGGTTCAAATTGTGTCATATCCATTAAGATTGCTATAAAAAATATTAAAAGTTCAAAAAAAACAAAATAAAATCAAATATATTAACTTAAATTAATTAATATATTACTTACAAAGATTTAGTGTTAGCAAATCACTAATCCTTTCAACCTTAATTCCAAAAAGTTTGTTAAGCTGAGCCAGCTTTTTGTATGATGAAAATGATTGCTAAAAAGATAAAAACCAATTCTGATCATATTTGTAATATTACATAAAATTTAAATTTTATATATATGTTACAAATTTGACTTACTTGCAGCTTAACTAAGATTTCTTTTTTCAGTTTGCTTATGAGGTTTTAATTGGCTGAGCAGAAGCTCAACTTGTCAAAGCTTTGCTTAGCAAGGGTTGGCTTGGTATGTCTTCTTCAATACTTAAATGAATTTTAATATTATTTTATATAGTTAATAGATAGGATTTAGGCATACTACTAGTAGTATATTGTGATGTTACTTAAAGCTAATTATTTACAAATTTAACAAATTAATTATATTTTTAATAATTTTCTATAGTTAATGAAGTCTTGGACTTTATATGAAAAAAGTTTGGTAGTAATAAAAAGTATTTTTAATTTTTAAAATTGTTTGTTTATCTAGATTTCTTTAATCTAACCTAGTTTTATATAATAAATATTAGCTACCTTAGAAGCTTTAAATATTATTTAAAATTTTTTTTATTATATAATTTTTTTTAAATTCTTAACAAAAGTTATAAAAATAAACTTTTTAAATATAATAATACTAAAATTATTAAAATTAATTTAATATATTACAAATAATTTTAATTTAAAGTTTTTACTAATAAATACTTATAAATTGAGTTAGAATTCTATTAATTTTATATTTAAAAAAATATATAATTTAATTAAAAATAAATATTTACTTGTTTTAAAATAATAATTATATAAAATTATATTCTAAAAAATTTTATTTAGAAAATAAAAATATATTATCTTAATAAAAAAATAAGTTAACTATATGCTAAAGTTAAAATTTCTTATTTAAACTTCTATAGTAAAAAATTAGACATTATTTTTTAAATTTTAAATTTATATAACTTTTAATAAATTTATTTTCTTTATTAATTTTAATAAATTAAAATTAAATAGTTAATTTTTACAACTTTTATTAAAGTTTAAAAAAATTTATTCAATAAAAAAATTTTAAATATTATTTAAAAATTGAAAAATACATATAAATTACTAAAAATAGCAATAATTTTCTATTATTATTACACTATACTCTTAATATAAATTATATTTTTTACTATATAATTAATAATAAGCTTTTAATTATAATAAGTCCTAAAGTTTCTTTATATAAAAAACTTTTGTTTTATAAAATTAATTAGTAAGTTTAAGATTAAAGTTTTTTTAAATAGTATACTACAGGTATTACACTAAAATTTACTAAAAATAGTAGATTAAAATAAATTTTTTTTTAATAACTTTATTAATAAAATAAAAAATAATTGTACTATACTATATTTGTATATTTATCAGATTTTTGTATATAAAAATTTTTTAGATATATAATTTTTTAGATTTTTAAAACTTTTTTTTAACTGTACTACTAGTAGTCTCTAGGCCTAAATCCTATCCATTAATATAATCTTTGAAATGTATATATGAATTCTGTGCCAAGTTTTGTCGATCATTTTGGTGCAGATATCTGATCTGCAAATCAGATTTCAAGATCACAGTGTAATGTAATATAATTGGCAAAATCTAAAACAAATGTTTGTTTTGTCAAAAATCGCTTATTTCTATAAAAAAACTACCCTTAGTGCTCTAATAAAAAGTTTTTCTTGAGTGATTTTACTATAATTACCTAAACTCTAATAACCTTAGCCTAAATGTTACTAATCTAAAAATTTTGTTAATTGTAAATTGTAACACAGAACTCATTTATGTCTTTAGCACCAAGGTTTGTCAATTATTGTGGCACAGATACCTGATCTGCAAATCAGATTACAAGATCACAATGTAACATAATATAATTATCAAAATCCAAACTATTTGTTTTGTTAACAATTGCTTATTTCTCTCTTAGTGCTCTAATAAAAGTTTTCTTTAAGCAATTTTACTATATAATTACCTAACCTCTAATAACCTTAGCCTAAATGCTACCCAACTTAAAAATTTTGTCAATTGTAAAATTGTGCCACAGAATTCATTCATGTCTTTGGCACCCAGGTTTTGTTGATTATTGTAGTGCAGTTACCTGTTCTACAATCAGATTTCAAGAACACAGTGTAATGTAATATGATTAGCAAAATTTAAAACGTTTATTTTTATCAAAAATCGCTTATTTCTCAAAAATCTGTATAAAAAATTACCCTTAGTGCTTTAATAAAAAGTTTTCCTTGAGCAATTTTACTATATTATTATCTAATCTCTACTAATCTAACTTAACAATTTTGTAAATTGTAAAATTGCACCACGAATCTGATACAGAATTTATACATATCTTTGAAATTATATTAAAATTTAATTACCTTTGCCAAAACTTTTCAACTTGGCCTCCTTTTTGATGTTTAAATGCCTAAATATAAAATAAAAGCATGTTAGCATTGCATATGTAATACATCTCTACTAAATATATAGGTCAAAGTGATTTGCATTTAGAGAAGTCTTTCATTTTTTTGAGCCTTACCTTTAAAGCACTGAGTACCTTTTCCTTTATTTTTTCTGATTCACTTTTTGTAAAGAGTCTAAAGTATTTCATGTATTGAAGGTGTTCAATTTTTTACTTCTTAAAATCTTCTTCTCATTGCAATACTCCAAGTAACCAAGCAAGGACCAAATGGGTTTGTAATTAAAATAATTCACATGAAAACTATATGTAAAAATAAATATATTAACTTATATTTAAATTAAAAATCTTAAGAGCCAACACAATGATTACTTACTCTTCTGAAGTATTTTTCATGTTATTTTCTGCCATCACTGTTTTTGGCTTTATAGATGTGTTTTGAAAATTTAGCAGTGAAGGCTTGTAGAATTTGTTAAGAAGAATGTTTTGAATGGTTTTAAATGATAATATTTTTGAAAATATCATGGTGATGCTTATAGAACTTTGTTTAAAGAAGAATATTGAGCAAAAATTCTTTATTAATAGTTTAAATCTATTATAGGTGACACCTCTGACAAAGACTTCAGAAACACATTTTGGAGTTATACTATCTACGTGCTTACATAATTTTGGCCAAAATTGTAATGTAATTTTAGTCAAAATCAAGTGAACATGTGGCTATTGTAACTCAAAAATTTATTTTCAAAAACTTTGCTGGAAGTATCACCAATATATATATTATTTAATATATTGGCAGTAATAAACATATGCTACAAAATGCACATGCAATCAATTATTTGTTTGGCTAAGTTTTAATTTGAATAAACATAATTATATAGTTATATAGTAACATGTAAAAAATCATGTACAAGGTTGGTGGCTCAGCTTAGATGTAACGTAACATAATCACAAATGTTCAGTGTCATTTACATGTGCTGCAAATTGCATATGCTACTCATTTGAGTTTTAATTTGAATAAAGTAAAAAAAGCATGGTGCAGCTAAAATTAGATATAATGTAACAAAATCAGGAGATTCAAAACAAACATTCTTTCTGCCACAAAAAGTGTTTATATTCATTAGACAATTTTACTATATAGGCTACCCCTTTCTAAATCCTAATCATGACCCTAATCCTAATCTTAACAAATTTTAGAATTTTGTTCGCACTGCCAATATTGTACACATTTCAGTATGCACAAAAAAATAATAAGCAAAATACATTTGTGATTATGAGTTTGTCAAATAAAATAGAAATTACATACATTATTAATGCATAAGAATATGATTTTATTGATTAATTATATAGTAACACACTTTATTATATTTTTCAAAATCTGGGTAATAAAATTTGGATTTAGGTACTGACAACTTATAATAGTGCCCCTAGCCCTCCAACAAGAAATTGTTTATCCTTTGTAATTTTAACCAATCAAATTAAGAATTAGGTATGATGTAAAAGTCAAAACAAACCATTTATTTACAAAAAAAAATAGCTCTAAATTTAATTAGAAAATCATCTGTGTAGGGCTATAAATCGGTTATCTGGCCTATCCTGGTTAAAAGACTACTAATATTTTAAAAAATCAGAATAGACTGTGGTTCAAGACTGAATAGGTTAATTTATTATCATATTTGTCTACTAATCAAGGTTATTGAGAAAATAAGAAATAGAGAGCCATCTTTTTTCAATTTAATTATCACACTGATAGAGTAGTTCGAAAAAAATTAAGATATGTACAGTACTAAAATGTCATATAATATTTGACATTTATGGTGAAGAATCATATGGACAGATTTCAGTTTAAGATTTTGAATTTCTATAAAATGATAAAATTCATATTTGGTTAGTACAATTCCGAATATAATAATAAAAAAAATTAACTATATTTTTTAATGATTATAATGCATATTAATCAAGCTAAAAACTTGTTAAAGTGATAAAGATACAAGTTGGTATATTTATATTGTTAAACATATCTCATATTATATATGAATATAGTGCTATGTAATGCAATTTCTAAAGTCTAAATGCAGAATTTCATGTTTTATTGCATTTATTACATTTAATACAAAGTAATTAATTATGAGATTTTGTGGCTAAAAATGCATATAATCCATATACTTTCTTAGCAGAAACTTGAATTTTAGTTAAATATAATTATCATATAATAATTATATAACTATTATATAGTTACAATATAACTAAAATTATAATATAGGGATGCAAATTACTAATTCTTCTCAACGATCACTTGTACCAAGTTTTTTCTAAAAACAATTGCACTTTTCTCAATATATTATTAAGTAAATATATTTTGGCTGGCTAAGTAAAATTGTTCTTAACAAAATTTTATATATAGGCAGTCTAGTTTTATATCTCTAAAGTTCTTTGTTACAGAGATATAGCTAAATTTAATTTTTTTGCTTATTTTAAGAAAACTCAAAATTTTTTTAGGATATTGCTTCTGCTCCTTAAGACAAAAAGATTTAGTTCATTCTTAGCTTCAATTTTATATATTATACATTACAAACAGTTAAAAACTGATAATTTTACAATTAAAATACTTCAAAACTCTGTTACAAAAACTGTACTTAATTTTTGCTAAAAATTTTTCTTTTTTTGGGGGCATCCTGATCCCCTAGGACGTCCAGATTGCAGATCCAAGATTACAAATTAATATTACAAATCAGATTACACAATTTAATCTCTGTTTCATTTATTTTTAGATTTAAACTAATTTTAGTAATTTATTTTTAAATAAATTACACAAATTTTGTCTTATATCGATCACGTTGATCATGTCAATCACCTAGTTGTCACACCAGGTGATATCTTATTTGTCATACTCCTTATATATCACACCTTTTATTTGTCACACCCCCTTATTTGTTACACCTTTTATTCATCACATCCTCATATTTCTATTGCCATTATGCCTACCTTAACTTCTCAAAAGCCAGATTCTTATAATATCGACTATTACTACTTCAGATACCACAGATACCAAAATCATTTGTGTTAGAATGCATAAAGATAAATCTCAATCTTTTTGTCTATTGCCACTCAATGTACGACCTATAGCATGTGAAGCACTTAAAAAACAACAACATTATTTTATTGTTCCTCAACAACTGGTTATTGCTACTTGTCTTTGTGGCAAATATCATACTAGTTTTACTTTCCGATACTATAAAATTAATTATCAAACAACACTCGGTCAACCACCTGCTACAACCACTGCTACTATTTCTACTAAACACTTCAGTAATATTACTGATAAACTACTATCTTCTCCAATCCCGAAAAAACATCCACAAGAATCTAATCTTTCAAATCTACGAATTCTTTTTTTAAGTTTTCATACTGATCCAACATCTACTGCTATTATTGCACACTCTCAACATTATCATACTTGCTTCCTTTGCAAAGTTAAAAATATCTCATATGTTGCTACCGAACAAAGCAATTATGCACCAGATTATACAGTATCTTGTATCTTTAAAAACTTTTTAATATACAGACTATACTCTTCAAAACTATATGATATTAAACTTAAACTACTTCCTCCTACTACTCTACTTAATTTCAAACACCAAATTGCTATTACTTTACTTAAAACCCATCTTTATATCACTTTAAACCCTAAGCAACTAATTATAGCCTCTCTCATCAAACTCAAAACATTATCTTCTAAAGACAAAATTTAAATCTATAAAACTCTCCTTTCTAAGAAAACAACATCTCAACAAAATCAACAACATATTCAAGATTATACATGCCACCGAAATAGGTTTTCAAAAAAACACTATTTCGTCTCCATTAGAGTAAATTAAAATTTTTTATATGCAAGAGCAAATCTAATTTAGGTAGTTATGTTCTTTATAATTTCGTTTCTTCAAAAAAAGTGTCAAAAAATTTCTTCTTTTAAGTAAAGTAAGTCAAAAACAATTTCGTCTTCAAATTTTAATTTCGTACCCCGAAACCTAAAATAATTTCGTCGGCATGTATATTCAAAATAAGCAAAACAAAGTCAAAACAAATTTCTACAAAAACAGAGAGATACAACTAATGATCTTGATTGGTTTAAAAAATTTCCTATTACTAAAGAAATGGAAAAAAATACTAAACTCAATACAGCTATAGCTCATCAAAATTTTGACTTTATTAACCCTCATCTTATTGATGTATATCCTGAAAAAGTCATCAAACCTGCTACAGTTAACAAACCTGCTTCCAAATTCAACTAAATGTACCTTGTCAAAGTTATGGCAGAAAAAAAATCCAAATTTTTAACAGATATTATCTATAAATACAACTCCACAATCGATAAATCAATTACTATCCTATTTGATCTTCTTCTCTCCACTTTTACTACTTTACTTAAACAATTTACAACAACACTCTTTACTTAACTTAATTATCTAAAAATCTTTGCATCATACACTTCTATTCCACCTTACTCTCTTGCTAACCGTAAACAATTAGCACTTAACTTTGCTCGACTTCATCTTATTCTTCACAACAAATACCAAACTATTAATTTTGATAAATTTTATATAGATCTAGAAGTATGACCAATATGCTTTAAACTACACTATTATATTAGTAAAGATATCATTAATTAGCCTCTCGTTAAAATCCAAAATGACAACAAATTTAATATTAATGTCTCCCTTAATATTCCTAAAAAATCATTTTTAGAAACCTTTCAAATTTCTACTCTTAAAGAATATTTGCCTGTACTTGATACATGGTTTGCCAAATTCTTTGAGATATACAAGCGTCAATTCTCTAATATTGATAAGAAAAAAGTCTACAACTACATTAAACACCAAATTGCACTTAAACTTTCTCATATATGCAATGCACTACTCCCACAACAATTTGCTATCTCATCAATCAATTCTTTTCATGAATGTCTCCAATTATATTTCAAAGCAGCTCTATATTATATTCATACTTGTCAAGTAGACAAGTATATCACTTTACCTCAAGACAAAGAACACAATGTCAAAAACCTTGCTAATACTTTCTTTACAGACTCTTTTAACACTTAACCACTAACTATATATCCAACTCTTGACTACAATATATTCAACAAAGGTGATGATTATGAAGCTACATTTCAAAAATCTACACCAATTTCTTTC